GAACATTTGTTAAAATTCGTCGAATTTTTTAAGCGCCCTACGAAGTTTGAAATTTTGATTTACGTAATAAGTTTCAAATTTTGACGAACATTTGTTAAAATTCGTCGAATTTTTATAAACGTTCTACAAAGTTTGAAATTTTGATTTACATGGTTTTTATTTAGATAGCAAGCTATATTTTCATAAAAACATAATACAAATTTTGTAAACAAAGAGAAAAGCTGCAAATTTCTGAAATGTCTTTTCCCTATTTATATTCGCGCACATTCACCTAAGGTCCATCTGAGGAATTCTCTTAGGTAGACTGCCTTTCTGGCCCTGGGTACACCAAAGGCTGTCGAATGTGCTTTTGGGGATCAACTGACCGGTAGTCCCAATTTTTGGGGAAGCTTTAACTAGTCATCGAAACAATAACGTTACAGACGATTGCAGATCTCTAAAACTCAACCCAAGAAATTTAAGCGCTCGCTAATAAGCGTACGCAATTTTAGCTACACATGCGCCTACTACCAAATTTCCATGTTCCGTTTGTTCTTAATAGCACAAATCATTTTGTCGCCAACTGAATATTTAAACAAAATGCTGTTATACTTAATTTGTAAGTTAGTAAAAAGAAAAGCGAAAAACTTAAAATGTTTGTGTAGATAATGCAGATGCCAGCCTTCCTCGCGATCTGCCAGCCAAATCAGCCAAAAACATATTTTAACACAAACAGCAAATATCTTTGGTACACAATTTTGTAGTTTATTTTAACTTTTTAACTTCTGTTTCGCATTTTACTTTTTTTATATTCTTACCATTGAATATTTAGTTTTAGTTGGAAACTTACATTTCGTTGTCCCATTAGATGTTCATTTCTGAGTTCTTAAAAATTTACCAACAAATAGGCTTAAACTTTCATGGTAACTTTTAATTGGTTTGGCACGCAAAATTAAATGGCAACAGCTACATACATAAGTTAAGTGTACAAATAGGTTTATAATTGAGTTACAAAAAATAAGAACAACACAAAAAAGCGGCTAAGTGGCTTGAGTTTACAATAATAAACAAAAAACTACATACAAAAAAATTCAAAATTTTTTGGGGAATCACAGATATTTCTATTTATAGTATAAAAACACGTTTGGTTTCTTGTTTTTGTAAGACGACTGTAAGAAGTTTATTGGTTTAGTCTATATTTATGTAAAACTGTTGAGACTGCTTATATGTAGCTCGACAGCTATCTTCATGTATGTAACTTTTGTAGCGGTCGCCCCTCGGCATGCAATGGCAAACCTTTGAGTGTATTTCTGCCATGAAAAACAGCTTCTCATAAAAATACAATCGCCGTTCGGAATCGTCATAAAACTCTAGGTCCCTCCCTTTTTGTGTGACAACATCAAAGCGCACGCCACAAATCTGAGGAGAAGCCCGGCCAAACACCTATATATATGTACGTGTAGGCGCCAGTCTGTTATTATAATAATGTATTAATAACAATTTATATTACCTTTTTTTTCCTCTTAATAAATACAGAAGGAATCGGCAGAGTAGAGAACTCGCAGCACAGCGGGCGCCATCTAGCGATTGAGCTTATGTATATTTTATAAATATGAGCTAGATCTAACCTTATAAAGGATTGTTACACAGTATTCTGAAAACAGCGACATCTGTTTAAAATTGGACTATAGAAAGAAGAATGGATGAAATGAAATTTGTATGAAATTTTGTATTTGCGTTACTGGTTTCGGCATTTTTCCTTTTCGTCTATGGCTAACAATGTAGAATATTTCCTTTAACCAGTATGCAGATAGTGAGGAAACACACAATATGATAGCGCATCTAGGTTAGAATTTCACCTTAGCTGATGTGAATAGGTGTGTTGCCTTATTATTTAAAAAACAAAATTTGGATTATTTAAAAACAAATATTAGGAGGAGCGCGTACATGACGCTTTCTTAGTTCCCATCGGAACCATAATTACCCAATATGAATAGCTTTTCTGAGTGCGAGGAGGAGGATTACTTAACCCTGGGTATTACAAAGTGTCTTTACAGCGCGCGGTTGGTTAATGTCCCGATTCGTAACCTTAGCCACTTTTCAATATTTTATGTGGGAATACCCAACTCTAATTACTCTAAAAATGCTCCTTTAATGAGAACTCTTTCCGAGTTAAATAATATTTCGGGTTAGGACCCGTCTCTTCCAAAAAGGAACAGTGCGCAGTTTAATTTATGATAAGGTAGCCCATTTCGTCAGTAAGAAACTATTGTTCTGTTTGACTGAATTCTTAATGGGAATTTGTCTATGGAAAGGCTCCTCAGTTATTTTCTTACAAAGCCTCGGCCATAAAGCATAAAGACGTAGTGACATCACAGTTCTCTCTGTTGGTCTATAGGTGATTTATTAGGCATACTGGTTTTCAGTAGATCACAAATCGGTGGTTGTATGTAGTTATCTTCCTCCGCTAACCGTCGCTTTCGAAACGTTTCTAGCCATCTCATTGCTTATTTCGTTCCCTTCCATATTGCGATGTCCAGGTACCCAGAAGAGGACCACGCTTACGTGACTCAATATGCTAGTTATGTGTGATGTTATAATAATTATCAGACAATTCTTGATGCGTTCCATGTCGTTTAACTGCCAGCGTATATAGGGACTTTAGGGACTCATTAGCTTGCTAGCCTTCTCAATGGTAAATGTCCCTAACTGAAAGACACTGTAGTCCTCAGGCATATGATTGAGTTATCTTCAGGCCTTTTGGGTAGAGACCCGCGCCAAATTATTTTCGATCTTTGATCGATCGGCGTAGATGATACCGTAATACCATCCTTTCCCCGTGGCAGGCCTGCATCATACTTTTCTCTAGTAGGAATCTTGACGACCAGTGCCGATTTCTAAGTCAGCCTTGATCCTGCTACGTCCCCCTCTTCAGTTCCTAATATGCCGAGGTATGCGAGAATCTACTGCCTACCATTATTTTCCGATTGCTACTTCTATCCAATGTCTTATACCAAATTAGAGCTCTATAAGTTATAATCGGTCAGATGGCTATGGTATTCCACATACCGTAAATAATGTGTTTTGTCAGTACCAGTTCCTACCGAATGCCCTTTGTAGGTATATGACGCTGCTGGGCTTCTCTTTGCTTAGTTTTTAGTTATCTGTTGTAATAAATATGGTTTATTCTTCATCGAAAATTCCATAAATTCAAGTTTCAAACTTAATGCAATATTACAAAAAAATCAACAAACCTTCGTAAAAATGTAGATCTTTTCAAATAAAGTTTTTTATAAAGGTCAATTCTGGCAATTTTTTTGTTGGAGGTGCTGCTCATTTTCCTCCATATAAAAAAATCGTCCAAAAATTAAAAAAAAACTAATTTAAAAGCTCATAATTTTTACAAAATTTTGTTGATTTTTTAACGGACTTCAAAAAAGGAGGCGGTTATCAATTCCACGGAATATTTTTTTTTTTGTTTTTTACGTATGTTCCAGATAATTTTGGACCACGTGAACCGATTTCGATAATCCTTTTATTAAAGGAAAGATGGTACCTCCGAGTTGGTCGCATACAAATTTTATCAAGATCCGATCATTGGATCATGAAGAATTCGACGATAATCTAAAATTTTTTTATGAGAATTGAAGTCGGTTTGGTTTTTTTGCTTCAAAATTACTTGCTTTTTAAATATTGCAAAAGTTTAAATCTCTGAGAAATAAACTTTATTTTTTATAAAAATAACTAAAGTTAAATAGTAAAAATATATATTTTTAAAACTTATAAAGATGAGGTGACACGGGCTGTATAGCCAAGTCCTCCACGTAAGCGACTTACTTTGTTCTCCCTACTATGAGGTTTTCTAATAATTAATTTAAAATCAAGAGCAGCCAAGAGGCGAAAGCACACTATCCTGTGGAGTGCTCCTTGTAGGCGCATTGTTTACTCTGCACTTGAAAGCGCCTTAAACGTACATGAAGCTAGCTACAGTATATCCCCTATGGTAAACTTGTATCCTATAGGGAACTATTCTATCGAATTTGCTATACAATCAAACTTTTGTTCAGGCTCACGCTAGCGTCTCCATCTGAGGTGGAATAGAGTACACAACGCGACTATAATTCTGTGAGTCTCGGGTTCGAAACAAGATGCGAGTTCCCTGGAACAAGTTTTTAATAAAAACCATCTTGCGTTCGAAGCCGAAATGAAACTGAAAGCAGATGTCTCCGGGTTTTTTTCAAGAAAAATTATGACAAAAAACAATGTAGAAAATAGTGACAAAGGTTTAAATCAAGCAGATAAAATATGTCTACAATAAGCTATTACGAATACATATATTATTATTTTCTACTTACACTTTGCATAAGCAGCGAACACAAATTCGACGTTGCCAGCTCACTTGTTATCAGTCATCGAATACTGCTGTCAATAATTATGTACTTATGTATGTAGTTGGCAACTGCGGTTTGATCAGTAAAATTATACACACACATTTAACACGCTACGTTCAACAATTGAGGAGGAGCACCTAAGTTGCAATTGGCATAAATTTATATAATTTGAATTCTTTTATTTTGATACATATTTTTTGAAGCGCGCATATCGGGCTAAAGTAAATTTTGGAAAAAAAGAAATTTAAAAGAATGTATTTCTATAAAAATGTTGTCAGGAGAATATTTCATTAAAAAAAAATAAATTTATTTATTTAGAAGGAATATATTTTGCTGTGTTTCTGTGTTAAAAAAATATTTTATTTATTTAAAAAGAATATATTTTACTGTGGTTTTGCAGATTTTTTTCAAATAGTGTATGATAAATTTTATAAATTTTCTACTGAAAATCGCTCAAACCCTCGCTAAATTCATAGGCGCCCGATTAATTTCACTTCTCATTTCCACTTTTTCTATATTTATTCATTTTCTCTCACTTTTAATCATGTTCTATAAGCAGAATGTGCAAAAGCCGAACAAACAAAGGCGCAATGAGTTCTATATTCAGCAGTCAGCTGATAAAAGCTGAGCCGGCGGTTATCGCTTTTACTGATTGCGCTTCGCTTTTGGATTTTCTTTCGTTTCTAGGCCTTATTACTTATGCAATTTTTTTCATTGTCCGCTTTTGCCCTTTTGAAATATTTTAAGCTGTTTTAGCAGATTTTTAGCAATTTTCATGCAAAAATTATTTACTACGAATTTTTTCTGAGCACAGTAAGTGAAATTTACGTAATTTGGACTTAATGAAGCTTTTTTTTAATTTTTTTTTTTATAAATGTACTGTAGTACGTGTCAGAATTTAATAAGTCACGTACATATGTAAGTATTTAAATACTTAGGTATCTGCTTATAGAAGGAAAAAAGTACATTCTTCTAAAGGCCTCTAACTCTAATATGGAAATAGTATTACCTATGTTTTTAGCTTAAAAACCAACTTTATTAATAGTCATTTTTACAGCTTTTAAATTAATAATTAGCTATTTACTTAGTTTAGCGCTTTTCATTTAACACATTTTAATAATTTTACTTTGAAAATTTACAGCTGTTCAAAATTTGAATTTTTGTATACACGTAGTGTTGTTTTTCTTCCGCATTCACAACTGCGTAATTTTCCGTATTTCTTGCCCCCTACAAAGAGGCGATAGATAAATAAGAAAATTTCGAAAAATCGGCAGCAAAGTTTTTATCCACATGGCAGAGCAAGCGACATGCAGATTTTCGCTATAATTTATTGTTTTAATTTCCTTATTAAAATTCACTATTTTTGCCATTTAACTGTAAAATTATAACTTTTTCTAGAAAAGCGATTGCATGAGCTGATAACTATTACAAAAAAAAATCAGAGATTTTCATTTTTTATTTGCCTTTTTCTCCTGATTCCGGTATCACAGCCGCGTTTCTCCACGCCTTTACAGAACTGCTGTGAGAAGCTGTTTGAACCGACCACCGTCTAACTGACGTATCGATATTTACATATATAAACCACACAGCGACCGCAGAAAAATCGAGCTGAAAAACTTCAACATTCACCAGTAGACCGCGAATGGGAAAAAAAAGGAAAATCTATCAAGACACAGACCTAACATTTACTCGCAACTTTTATCGCAGACGAATAGAATAATACTGAATGTATGCAGCAGTAGTACTCCGGCAGCTCGCAACGCAACGTAACGCAACAACGTCGTTGACGACGACGCTGACAACGACGACGACGACGAGACAATGATGGGGAGAAAATTCGCTGCATATTAATGTTTTTGTGTGGGTGTATATATATATATATATATATATATATATATATATNAACGTCGTTGACGACGACGCTGACAACGACGACGACGACGAGACAATGATGGGGAGAAAATTCGCTGCATATCAATGTTTTTGTGTGGGTGTATATATATATATATATACATGTGTGTGTGTGTGTGTTACTACATTTGTGTAAGTGCGCTCAGCAGATGCTCAGTTACATGCGCAGCGCGCAGTTCCCCACGGTCCCCATCTACGGTGGAGACTCATACATATGGGCGAGTATTTAGCTGGCAGAATATGAGAATGACAAGCGTTTGGCGCAGGCGAGCAACGTCGTGGAGAAAAAGGGTTGAGTTGGTAAAGAACGAGAGTGAGAGAGGGAGTAGGGAGTAAAATGCAGCATAAGCGGCGAGTGATAAACTCGCATTTGCCATCCATACAAAGGTTAAAGAATGAGGTGACAAATGAAGACAATCAGCGTTTTCCTGAGTGATTTTCCATAAGGTCAATACATGATCTTTGAATTGCCGTAGAGTCCCTTGCAAGTCCTATAAGGGCAACCTCACGATATTTCACTCATTGCACGCACAGGCTTATGNAGAAGACAATCAGCGTTTTCCTGAGTGATTTTCCATAAGGTCAATACATGATCTTTGAATTGCCGTAGAGTCCCTTGCAAGTTCTATAAGGGCAACCTCACGATATTTCACTCATTGCACGCACAGGCTTATGTGGAAATTCACCTCAAAGTCAGTGTTGCTGTTTTGTTGAATATACTTCAAAAGTGATACGTGTTTGTGCAAATTTTCGGAGGATACTTTATTTTTTCGCTCATTTCGAGAGATACTTAAATTTTCCACGTGGTACAAATTTTGATAATTGACAAAGGGGATAGAATCCCATTCTCCGAAAATCCCATTCTCCTCTGAAAAACGTCCTGTTTATCCCATTATCAAATATTAAAAGCTTTTAATAACAATGTATAATAACAATATTTATAGCAGCCACTTTGAGTTCTGCGGTTTTCACTTTTCTTGCGTTGAACATGGTGACTCTACGACTATAAACGCGGCCGTAATACGACTATCTGTGATACAGTAGTGGTTCAGACGGATGTTTCTTTAGTTTAGGTAGATTACAGCTGAACTCTACTAAAACATTCTACAGGAATGGCTTGCCGAGTGTCTTAAGCCTTATCTCTGCGCGGGCTGGACACTCGCACAGGAAGTGTTCGACTGTCTCTTTTAAGTTGATCATCGCAACTGCGACAGAATCTGTTGAAGGGCAATACAATCCTTTCGGCATGTACCCCAATGGGCCGGTACCCTGTGCACACTGCAGTACGTTTTTAGGTATCGTCCGCTACCTCCTTTCCGTAAATGTCCCTATGTCTCGGGACTCATATTAGGGTAATTTTGTATTGATCAGAGATATAGGCCGCCTATCTCGTACATTCCTCTGCTAATTGAAATCTAACAGAGGTAGAAGAGAATGCCTTAGTGGTCGCTTGGATATCCGAGAAGATATTCAGATGAATATTTGGGAAAAAATTAAAGGTTATTTCTATGTCAAGAGATTTCGCTCTAAATTTAAATAGTTGTAAAAAAAAAATATATATGAAAAACCATACGCATTCATTGTAAAATATACTAAGATATGCGCAATAAATATGCAAAAAAGAGGTATTTTTTGCAAGATATTCCAAACAATGCATCATGAAATTTCATGATTCGTAAAGATAACTTAACCATTTCCATTTGAAGATGCCAATTAAAAACATGCATTTGCATGAGATTCCGAGCCCTAGTTATTGCAAAACTACGTTTATGAAAAAGTTGTCAGCGTTCAAGAAGTGCTTATTGGACGTCTAGGACGTCACAACAAAATATGTTTTTTTGACGTAGAATACGTCTTACGTTTCNGAAAAGTTGTCAGCGCTCAAGAAGCACTCCTAGACGTCACAACAAAATATGTTTTTTTGACGTAGAATACGTCTTACGTTTCGATATGGAGTAGCGTGGGCCGAAAATCCGCTTTTTTAGAATTTTGATTGGTAATAACAAAAATATGGTTCATTATGCTCTAAAAAAACATCTGTGTGAAGTGTGAAAATTTTTGGTCAATATCCTAGGCTCTCCCAAGTCCATCAAACATTCATGAAAGCCGCTATGCAGGAAATATTTTGATATATGTACATTAGACTGTATCACTCCCCATACAAACAAAAATCGGTACTGTGTTTCCATTGGAATTATAAAATCTATTATATTTTAAGACGTCCGCCAAAATATTTCGGAAAAATATTAAGATTTACGTGAGCTGGACCGATTTGAAAATACCTCCAAAAATGGAGTTCTTTATGAATAAAAATAGTTTCTTAAAGATTTTTTTTTTTCAAATCCCCTCAAATAAAAAAACGGGTTAGGCTTAAAAAATTTGCATGTAATTTGCAAATTTTTTTAACGGAATAACGAGATTTTTGATGCTGTTTTTTAACTTTTTTCAAAGATTGGTATAAGAAAAACTTGAATAACTGAACCTAGACTCTTTCGATTTAAACTTGTGAGGTATCATTGGAAATATATTTTCTCACCCTTTTTATTTCTTTGCAAATAACATCACTCAAAGGGTGAAAGAAAAATGTAGGATGAACGAACGTCATTCAAAATACAATTAAGATGTGTTGGAAAAACCGCTACTTTTTTTGGTGATGTAGTCTAATGTACATGGTTTGTCTAAAATTGGCAAACGAAACCATCCATTTAGAGCAGTGGGTGTCGTCGTTGTCTCTCCCGTCACTCTTGGGAAAGTGAAAATTTTATGTGTAAGTTATATAATTAAGTTTTATCCTTTCTTAGCTTCGTATTAAACTGATATCTTCAGATGTTAACAGTTTGAAACTTGTCAAATTAAGGGTTAAAGAGAAATTACTTAAAGTTTGAGGAAAAGCAATTTAAATGTCTCACCCGTCACAGTTAATAGTTTAAAGTATTTGTATTCAAGTTTCTGTGAAATCTGTACATTATATACATATTTGTTCGTCTTTATACACGATTAAAAACAATATCCCTATTTTGATAGACTATATGCAACATATTTTTCTTCATGTACATGTGTATGTGTATGAATGTGATTTAATGATTTTTCGATTATTAACAATAATTAAAAGCAGTGGTATGAAACCAAATAGCATTTTTTTAACAGTTTTTTCTAACTTGATACTTAGATACTTAAAAACAAAATTAGAGATACATTTGATCTAGTTTTTGTTTTTTTTACGACACATTTTTTGATGACGCCACGGCAACACTGCTCAAAGCAATGGTTATGTTTGACTCTTAAAAAGTCAGATCTGTCAACCAGATAATTTCGATTTCGCGCTCCATCTCTCTCCTACAGGTTTTCCTCATTCTCTGAGTATGGAACTCTTTCAGCTCTCTCTACCTGCAAGAAAACATATACACATGGCAAAGTAGATGCAATGTAAACAACACCAATAACAACGACAACACAAGAGCAAATCTATTTTTAAACTCNTAAGAAAACATATACACATGGCAAAGTAGATGCAATGTAAATTGCGGCAAAAAATACGAAAAGCAACAACACCAATAACAACGACAACACAAGAGCAAATCTATTTTTAAACTCATATTAATATTGTTCTTTATTTTATCAGCGTAGTGTGTTAAAAAAAAAAAATAATAATAATAATAAAGTACAATTCAGCGACAACCACAACAGCAACAACAAAAACAAGTCGAATTAATATTATCTACACGCCATGC